TATTTATGGCCAACACAGGCACATTGCCTACCAAAGCACTTGCGCTAATGGATCAGAGCACAGAACTGTACGAGCACCATGCACAGAAATGTATTAATATTTTATTGTATAATCAGTACAGGAAATTACATCATTCAGAGCACCACCTATTGGCCAAAAACGCTGCCACCGGCATTGCGATTAGTGATGGGAATTTCGGCTCTTCTTGGTGAGCCGGATCATTTGGCCAAGAAGAGCCGGCTCTTTCGGCTCCCAAACGGCTCTTCAGTTTACCACATATTATACCTTTTAATTTAATCAAATGTAGCCCTGTTTTGATGTGTATAGGTCTATGTGTACACATATATCACTTAAATTAATCAATAGATCATTTGTACTGAAGTATTCAAAAGTAAAAATTACATGTTTAATATAAATTATTTGCTGTTGCCAAATGTTTTCATTGCATTTACAGACCCTTGTAACTCTCTGATTGATTGATTGATTGATTGATTGAAAAGTTTATTAACAGCTTGTATATTGGGTACAGTACAGTACAGCTCAAAACATACAATTGTTAAGGGGATGCAGACCAGAGAAAGACTTTCGTCTTGTTTACATCAGGGTCCCCCACTTTCCAATTCATCATATCATTTAAGACATATAAGACATATTTGACATACAGATGGCTTATTTACAATTTACATACAGGTGGTTTTTTACATACAGATACATACAGCTTATTTACAATTTTCATTTTAGATTTCGTTCTAATACATCCTAACCGGACATTTAAGACATACCAATTCTACAGATATACAGTTAGTAACAGAGTCTAAAATGCGAGTATATGGGGGGGGAAGCTGTCCATTGTACGACAGGTTGAGATTTGTACCATTACCGGAGCCAGTTTTGCAATGCTCTCCCCCGAAGGTGCTCTTTAAGAGAGGTTTTGAAGGTAAGTATAGTTTTACTTTCCTTTACAGTAGTGGAAAGAGCGTTCCACCTTGATGTGGCATAATTGCGAAACGTGTATTCCCCCTTTTTTGTGCTTAATCTGGGTTTTACATGATTTGTGGAGCTCCCTCTGGTGTTATGATCATGGTATTCCTTGACCTTTGGGAAGAATTTTGACATGTACATGGGTACCATAGAGGTGTAGTGTATCTTGTAGACCAGGCCCATTGCAAGTAGCTGTACTCTGTCGTCTACTCTAAGCCATCCTAGGTTGTCAAAGTGGGCAGAGGTGAGGTGGGTTCTAGATGAAAGGTCAAGCAGTAGTCTGACCGGTTTATTTTGTGATGTTTGAAGTTTTATTTTTAGCGCCTTGGAGGTGCTATGGTACCATGACGTGCAAGCATAGTCATAGTACCCTTGAATGAGTGCTCCTGCCAGAGTTTTCAGGGTGTTTTTGTTTACCAGAGAGGAGATCCGGTATAGGAATCTAGTTCTTTGATTGACTTTTGCACTGCAACTGAGAAGTCGTCGGATTTGCTGAGATTATGTTTCGAACCGAAGAGAATGGACTCTGTTTTACCCACGTGTAATGATAATTTATTATCGGCGAGCCAGGTGCAGATTCTGCCGAGCTCGGAGCTGATGGTTTTTTCAACCTGCAATCTGCTCCTGCCAGAGACCAGCAGGGCTGAGTCGTCCGCGAACAGGAACAAGTTGCAGTCACATGCTGATGACATGTCATTTGCATAAATTAGGAACAGTAACGGACCTAATATGCTTCCTTGTGGGACACCACAGCTCACTGGGAGGGGGGGGGACAGAGTACCGTTTACCTCCACCATCTGTTCTCTCCCCTCCAGGTAGGATTGCATCCAGCTCATCGATGGTTTATCAAAACCAATTGCTTTTAGCTTGTCAATCAGAATGGGGTGATTGACAGTGTCGAAAGCCTTTTGCAGGTCCAGCATCACCATGCCGCAGTATTTGCCCTCGTCCACCTCTTGTTTGATGTGGTCGTTCAAATAAAGAAGGCATGTGTCAGTGGAGTGGGATGTTCTAAAGCCAGATTGAAATTCGTAGGTACTTTTCGACCTGTTCATATACTATTTTTTCCATGACTTTCGAGATGGAGGTAAGTATAGAAACAGGGCGGTAGTTGCCTGGGTCCAATTTGCTGCCCTTTTTGTGCAGGGGGGTTACTCTTGCAATTTTGAAGTCTTTGGGTACTTTTCCCTGTTTTATGGAGAGGTTAATTATGTGAGCTATGACTGGTGAGATGGCGGTTGCTGTGTCTCTGAGGAATTTAGAGGGGATATTGTCGTGGCCAGTGGCCTTGTTAGGTTGGAGGGCGCTCACTTTAATGAGTACCTCTGCTGATGTTACCCTTGCTAGACTGAAATCATCTTTGCATACCCCTAGGTTTTTGTAGTAGGTCATGATGTGATCTACTCCAAAAAGCCCTGAGTGGGAGGGTAATTTATTTACAAGAGTTGTGGCTATGTTTGTGAAAAAAATGTTCAAGTACTTGGCCACGTCCAGTTTGTCTGTGATGAGCCTGTTATCTGTCTTTATGTTTAAGTTCGAAAAATCTCGTTTTGAGTTTTTTACTGCAGCCAAGCTGGTTATTGAGTAATTTCCAAAGTTCACGTTTTTTTTTTTGTTTTCCTCAGTTTTGACATTGATGAAATTCTTTTTGGCAGTTTTGATCATGGAGCTTACGTCATTTCTTAGTCTGTTTCTTTCCATTTTTAGTTCAGTCACGTGGGCCATGAGTTCACTGCTCATGCTTTTGGAAATCATTGACTGACTTTTATGAAACTCAGAGCATTTTTTGTCTCTGGTTTTCATGGCGGTCAGTATGCCGGAGTGCATCCACGGCTCAGCGCGATTTTTTACCCTGGTTGTTCTTAGGGGGGCCAAATCATTGAGTATTGCAGAGAATTTATTTTTGAAACCAAGCCAAGTTTCTTCAACTTGCGTACCACTGAGCTCATCTGACCAGTCCAGGCTCTCCAGTTCTAGGTTAAAGGCCTCGCTAGAGTAGTTTTTGAGGTCTCTAGATATGAATGTTTTGTGACAGCCGGCCCTTTGTTTTAGCCTTTTGCGGGTACAGAATATCATATAATGATCACTTAAACCGCATGCTATAACCCCTTTACCGGAGATCTTGGACTTGTCAGAGGTCAGAATGAGATCAATGGTAGTCTGTGTTGTTTCACATACCCGGGTGGGTTGGGTGATTAGCTGGCTGAAGCCGTGCATATCACAAATCCTACTGAAGGACTTGAAGACGGACGTGTCTTTACGTTGCATATCCGTGTTCAAGTCTCCAATGATACCAACCAATGAATGCACTGACTTGCTTGTAGAACCACGCTACACAAAACAGATAGCAACACCTATAAAAACTATTTAAAAAAAGGGGCTACTGTATCGACATTTTAAAATTACATAAAGAAAAGGCCGATTCTGTGAGCTGCAGCTGACCACGCCCCCCTGCAGGAGAGGGGAGCGTGCTCTGAGATCAGATGCTGGGCTCTCAGAAGAGGGGGAGAAAAAGAGATCTCCCTCCTCCGTGTTTTATTCTTATAGAAGTAAGAAGAGAAGCAACGGGGCAGAAACCCTCCTTTTTACGCAGCGGTCCAGACATAGACATCAAACGGCGACACATATTCTGTTGATATTTACTTTGGCATTAGGGCCAGTAGCGTGGCGTGGGGAAAAAATGAGGGGAAGCCAATAATACGTCCTTTCTTTTGGGTCGGGGGTGTGGTGGGCAATGTAATAACGTAACCAGATGAGTGATTACAGCACCCGGTATCATTTTACACACATGTGTATCATACCGATGCAGGACTTACACACGCCTGTTATCTAACCGACAGGTCCGCACGCACTCTCCGGCCGAAACTCTAATAAGCATTCATTCCCAAACTAAATCAGACCTTTAACGTTTTACGTCCGATTCGCTCCTTTGTTCCTCGCTGTACACAGCTACAGTTTGGGCATTGGCCTGTCATCAGATTGTATTTGTTGTTGCTGCTGTAGCGGAAGTTTAGTACAATTATTTTTTTATTAAATACTCCAAATCTCCACCCTCCATAATTGCACTTCCTTCAGTTGCTTGCTACTTTCTAACGGCGGTGAGAGTAGTGCAGTGACGCTATCTATCTTCTATCGATTAGATTTATGATTCAAAAATTATAAAAAGTAGAGTAGACATGTGGATATTATCCGACTGAACAAAACGTGCATTTATATAACAGGTTCGTTTTCCACTGATCTTATTTCGAGGTATTTTCCAAAACCTTGTGGAGAAATCCCATTACTTTTTTGTCGAGGGAAACCGAGCGCTGCTTACTTCCGGGTTTCAGGACGCGTGCACTTGCAACCACTCAGTTGATGCGATTTGATTGGGATTGTGAGGCAGGGAAGCCAGCCGCCTCTGGCTTCCCTTGGCCATGGCCCTGACCAATCACAGGTTGGCAGCGGTTGGCAGGGGCATGACGTGAGCCTTGTCTGATTGGTCAATCCCTCCATTTTGTTTTCACCAAGGGAAGCCAATTTCGGCTCGCCTCCTTTCGCAACAGAGAATGCAATCTACTGTTTCACCATAACATCTAGGGGGAGCTGTTTCACTCTTTGTAAAATACTCAATGAGAATGGGCGAGAGACGGGCCGGCAGCAACACACAACATAGAATTTCCGAAACTAAACAAAGTGTTTTTTTTAATTAAAATTATAACTACAATCCGAAAAAACAGGGGAAGCCTGGCTTCCCTTGGCCTCCGGGAGAAAACGCCACTGCTTCCAAGGGGTACCCTGTACGTAATAGTGTGACGGGGAGGGGCCCTGACCGTCCGTCAATATGTGACGGGTTGGGAGTGAGAACGTGTTGATTCTAACTATTTGGATGTTTATGTTCTCATTCATTTAAAAGTAAAATGGCCACAGAGTCACTCTCAAAGGTTATTCTTTGTTCACCTATGTCAATAACTTGACAGATAGCACTACTTCTTCAGCAACATGCAGCACTAATCTTACAAAACCAGACAAACAGCCAATACACAGAACATCTTTTATTTTAGGTTACAGCGTGACTGAGGATCTGTTTAACAGAGCAAAGACAAACTGTAGACACTATTAATGAATTTTACTACAAAAGTGAGTCCGTTTAGATTCCTCTTCAATACTACGCAACAATAAGAAATATACATTATGTACATTTGTTTAGAGCAGGGAGGAAATGTTCCTCGCTTACACTTTACATGGATGTCGTACAAGTTGAGAGAAAGAGAGGAGAGATATTCAAAGTCAAACCTGGCGAGAGAAAGTGCTTGACAATGAGAACAACATTTTGTAGTGAAGAGTAGATAGTTCAAACAGTGTTGGTCACAAAATAATACTTGAGTGGCTCGATAATCAGATGTAGACGGTTGAGGTAAGTTTGAAAGATTCTGTAACTGTATCAAAATGGCCCGGCACATCGCACTGCGATGCACACAGTGCAAAAATAACCAGGTATATATCACAGTATTTAAAGTTGTAATGCAGAAGTTGAGTGGTCTATCCAGTGAGGGCTGATGCAAATGTTGTTACAAAATGAAACGTGAAAAATAAACTGGATGACTGAAAAATGAAATCAACAAATAAAAGTTTAAGCTGGCAGGATGACTCACGTGACGAGGAGGTGATTGAATGACATCCACCTCCCTGCCATAAACAGACAAATGTAACAAAACAAGTGAACTTTGAGCACATGGTGTGGCTAGCTTTGGTTACCTTACATATTGAGAATATGGGATTTTCTCTTCTCCCAATAGAAATTGGGTACCTTTAACTCTGCACTCTCTTGCACTGTCTCTTCAATGAAAAGTCCATCACTATGTGAATTCCTTACTGTAGCTTTCTTTTCTTTTCTGTCCTCTTTTATTTAGCAATGACAGGCCAGAGGTCATTTGGGTAACAGGCAATAAGCAGCACAAACCCAACAAAAGAACACCTTAACTTTGAACAATCATGCAGTTATTAATTATCAATCATCTTGAAAATCCACATATTATTTGAATGCTATATATAAGCCTTCAGTGCCTCATCCTACTTCTCATTTTCCACTCTCCGCCCTGACTGGGAAGATAGTTGCTTTTTCTCTAGATACTGATCTAAGGTCAGTTTTAGCATTTCCCCCATGCAGGGGGAGAGTCGTGAATTGAAAATATGATTCAGCTAATGCTATGAGCGGACATGGGCCGACATACAGTATGTTAATTGGAGCGCAGATCTGCGCCGGAGGGCAAGGCCTTCGTCTCTCCTGAGCATAGTGGGATAAGGGGCACTGGGTTGTGTGGTTGTAGTGTGTGTATGTGTGTGTATGTGTGTTTATGTATGGTCACATCACAGTTAACTGTGATCCCCCTCCATTCACTGTCCTTCCTCCTCGCGTAGGAATTGGAAGACGGATGAGAAGTCCTTGTTAGCGTAGCCGCGGGCGCACATGACTCTGAAGATCTGGTGGGCGAGGGAACCCAGAGGGATGGGTGTCTTAGTGTTGGTGGCAGTGTTTTGAGCCAAACCAAGATCCTAGATAGACGGAGAAAGAGAGGCAGGGTTTTTACACTAACATAGTAGAATCTATTTCTGTATATCTAGGCTGATCAAATAAATATTCTTATTTTATCAGAAGTTTGGTGAGCTAATTTAACTTCCCAGGCTTATGTATGCAGAGCACACATTGCAAGTGTATTAAACGACCCCCAGATGCACTAAATAATACACAGGCACAGACTGACCCATACAGAAGAGCTAATGCAGTGACAGTAAAATGAAGTGGCGCACAATAAGTCACAGATGGGATGGTGAGGAGGAGAGTGGGAGTATCACACACAGACAAAAGAGCAGTTAAAAGTGACACAAAATAAATGACAGGGTTGAGATTGAGAGAAAGAGATTGACAAAAAACAGACAAAAAGAAAAGAAAAAGGGCAAATTAGCAGTTGCTAAAATAATTAGTCGATCAGGACTACATTAGATTCTAACAACTTTGATAAATTATTAACCATTAAGGTTATTATCCTGGGAAAAAAATCCAGCTTCAACAAAATATGAAGATTTGGGACTTCGTTTTATTTTAATATAATTTGTGTTTTTGTTTTTGAAATGTTTGATCTACCTAACAAGCCTTTTATTGTAAAAAAAATAATGAAGAAAATAAGCTTAATCAAGACTTAATTTAAAAGAAAGTGACTTAAAGACAGGGGACAGGTACCTTGGCCATTAGTGTGGTTCCAAAGCCCCCCTGGTAGTTGTTGGCAGAGGGGACTCCCTCCATGACGCCAGGGGCTGGATTGTACGTATCACTGGACCAGCAACGACCTGAAGACATGTTGAGGATCTTTGCCAGCAGCTTGGGGTCCAAACCCAGTCTGGGAAAGGAGGAGAAGGGGTCAGTTGGTTCTTAATGCATGGTAACATCAACATTTATGTGTGATTATTGGCGTACAATATTCAAATTATGTTCATAACGCTGTTGCAAAATGCTCTGATTGAGCCCTGAATCTTTCTTTTACTTGCTATGCTGGTTTTAGTGCATATCAGAACAAAATGGTATTAACACTGTCAGACTTCCTTTACACAAACTGCATCCTCGATTAAAGGCTCAACCCTCTGGATTGTGCTACCTATAGCTCGACCAAATTGAGCATTTTTAGTATTTTAGAGTTTTCTTCAGGTTTCAAGGTGTGGTTAAACATTGACCAGAGCTGTTGACACCAACTAGTCATTATCTGTGTACTGCCATGGAAGGTTGTCCTTGTGTTTGAAGTGTGTCATGTACAGTCATTTAATGATTACCTAAACTACCAATGCCCATCAAGGAACTTGTGTTGGAAATTATCTTTAGCTACAAGTGTGACACGTTGGACACTTCTAGAAGTCACTGTTATTCTGTACTAATGAATGTCCCTAACGAGTATACACAAAAACATACTAATAAACTAGTAAGAAAATGGGACAGACGATTCAGCGATTATTGAATCCATTTTCAAAACCGAGCAAAATAGCAACACGGAAAAAGATGGGTGTGGGGCGGCTGGTGATCGTGGTGACCCCCATTGAACCTTATGCTAGGCTGTGACCATTCCTCAGTGTTAATGGCTGAAGGCTTTGTAATGCTGGCTAATGCAGTATTGATGTTTACCAGCACATCTATCCTTCATCATCTCTCTTTCATGAAAGAAAGAGGAGGAGAAGTGGTTAAGCAGCACAGGGGAGCCATAAACCTCGCTGTCACGTATAGAAGGACACTCTTACTTCTTCTGCCCCATTTTGCAGCAACCCACTTTCATATGCAAGTCTCCAGGCTATGATATGCAAAAAGCAAAAAGACAGACAGAAGCAGGGAGTGAAACAAAGTGCCAACCATTACAGGGAAGAGGGTGTAACTGTAGCGTCTGTGTCGGTCTGTGTAGTGCAAATTTTGTGTATTAACGGTTTAAAGGCCAGTGTAAAGTGGACCACATCAAGCCCTGGCTGCCTCACTTCACTGTTACTTACAGGCCTGTAACTCTTTTCTGCTCTCAATTTGACTATTAAACCATCATAGGTCCTTAAGGCCAGCAGCCTCCCTCCCTTCCTCCCTCACTCATTCTGCCATTACTACCACAGTTTTTATTAGCTGTCTACTAACTAATTAAGAATGGGGATTGCGTTTACACTCCATGTCTCTCCCTCCTCCCTTACCCTTTCGTCTCTTTTGTGTCCTGTGTTTTTTTAACAAACAGTTTTGGAAATGTGGTATGAGTGCTGCCGCATGCGTGCATATGCGTGTGTGTTAGTTAACATGTGTTTTAGCTTGCAATTTGTTAATGTCAGTCTCGCTCATGATGGCTTTTTTAGTTTCCGTCTGAAGCATCCCTCGCCATCCTGCCTCTCATCTCCTCCGCCTTCTCTCCTCTTCCTCCCCCTCGTCTTCCCCGCTGACACCTCCCTGTCTGAGGACTCTAGGGGACATATGTTTGACATCGCGCACAAACCCCCCCCATCTCTCCACACGCACACACAAGCAGGCAGCCCCTCCCTGCGTTCTGGGTCAGCAGCTGAAAAGGTTACTGGCTGAGCTACAATAAAGCGCGTCCGAGCGCACAGATCGTTTGTTATAGCGACCAGAGACGCTGACGGGGAGCTGTTGTCCTCTGTTAACGATAAATCAATGAAGTTCCCCTCCTGCTCCCATCACACACGCAGACCCGCACAGCCACTTACACACACCGCCGTGGTTATTAGCTGACGCAGTGGTGTTGTTCCTCGCCTGCGGTAATTTGCGTGGAGAAGAGGACATGTCACGCTTTAACAAGATTGACATGGATAAACACACAAAGACACAAACGGTGAAACAAACGTGTTGCTGTGCGATGCCGCTGCACATTAAAGAAATGTGAGAGTGAGAGGGAGAGAGATGAAGAAAAGAGAGGAGGGTGTTGATGTGCTGGCGGGCTCTAGCAGGTGGAGTTCATTTGCAGCCCTGATATTAACGGTCTGTTTCATTGCGATTAGCTTCTCGTCCTCGTTTGATGCCACAGGAGAGGAAGCCAACCCGTGCCCAATTTATTATTACATTACAGAGCTAACGAGCACATATACACACACACAAGCGTTTACTATCCCATTTATAGAGGCAACAAGCGCGTTTATCACCCGACTTTAATCTGCATTGGAACATATGCTCACAATTCATTAAAAGGGGGGAGAGATGTGCATCTGTGTGTCCTGTGGCAAACCTATTTCTGTCTCTCAACACAAAGGGTTTTGTTGTTATGCCCTTAGAGCCGCCTGTTGTCTTCCTCATAAAAGAATAAAAGAGCAAATATGTGTGTCCCTACTTGTGACTGCTTGTCTTTATGCATGAATGAGTGCAGGTACACATGTGCAAGGTGAACCGTAAAAAGCCTCATATCCCTTCCTGGGCCAGTCGCCTCTCTTCTCTTTTTCCTCTCCTTTCATCTTCATGTGCATCATTAAAATCACTGCTGCCCGTCTCTCCGCTACTCTCTGCAGCTTTTCACCCCCCTCTACCACTGACTGGTTGGCTGCGTGCAAGAATTATGGCAGACAGAGGAGAAATGAAGGGATTAAAAGGAAAGAATAAAAATGAGGAGGTACAGAAAACAGGAATGGGGGAAAAAAAGCCAATCGAGAAGGACGGCAAATAATAGGCTGTGTATGCGGGCTGGGGAGTGTGTGTGTGTGTGTGTGTGTGTGCGCTCATAATTGTCATGCGTGGCCATTCCTTGCACTAAAAGAACGTCACGCTCTGTTGGAGACGGCCCGAGCTTCCATCTGAGATCAACAAATTAGCTCCACGATCAGAACTGTGCATGAATGTGTCAAAGTGTGTGTGTGTGTGTGTGTGTGTGTGTGTGTGTGTGTGTGTGTGTGTGTGTGTGTGTGTGTGTGTGTGTGTGTGTGTGTATAGGTGGGGAGAAACACACACACTCATGCACATATTCGAGAAAGGGCAGCTCTATCAGGCCCAAGTCCAGCATGATAAAATGTTATTGCCATTTTCCTGTAAATTGGCTGTGAGTGTTCGGTCTCCTTTGTGTGTGACTGTGTCGTGTGTGTGTGTGTGTGTGTGTGTGTGTGTACATATACGGCTAAGAGAGCGCCCTCTCTGCATAAGAGGCAGGGCCGCAATGCAGCATGGGAGATTTACGGGTGTGGGCTCTCTCTAAACGAAGACAGTCTTTGTCAAACCCCATAATAAAGCCCCAGAGATTGGTTAGTAAGAAGGGGGGGAAACATGGAAACCCACACACACACCATGCATGTATGCACACACACAATCATAACTGAATAACTGAAGGGTCAGTTTGCATGTAAAAAATAATTCACAATGAAAGTGAAAGGATGCCGTAGTTAGCATTCGTATCCTTTTATTCATTGGCATACAGTATGTTACAATGATGTGCACAGTCTGTCGCAGTTTGCTAGAAAACTGCTGTCTTCAGTGTCTGTGGATCTGTGTGTCAAAGTGTGTGCGTCAAAGTGTGTGTGTGTGTGTGTGTGTGTGTGTGTGTGTGTGTGTGTGTGTGTGTGTGTGTGTGTGTGTGTGTGTGTGTGTGTGTGTGTGTGTGTCTGTGTGTGTGTGTGTGTGTGTGTGAGAGAGAGAGTGAGTGTGTGTGTCTGTATCTGTGTGTGTGTGTGTGTGTGTGTGTGTGTGTGTGTGTGTGTGTGTGTGTGTGTGTGTGTGTGTAATTCTGTGTGGCCCGTGCAAGTTAGCTTTAATTCAAAAGGAGACATACATCTCCTTCATCTGATCTCCTCAATTAACAAGATTCAAGTTAATAAGCAAGCAATCAAGCCCTATTAGTACAGATGCTTGACAGCAGGCTTTGACGACAGTCACCAACCATAAACATGAGAGGGTGAAGCTGGCTGTGTAATGGCAAAGGAAGATCAGAGAAACAGCTTTGGTTTTGTAGTGAGCACTCAATTCATTAGCACTTCTTTCATTACACACAGCACAATCAACCAAAGCAATTCATGACAAGGTTATAACCTTTTAAACTCTTTTTGAAGTGGCGCATGTATGTACAAAGTAAGTGAGAATGTCTCTGGTGTGTGCATGCAGTATCAGTGTGTGGGATCCAGTGTGTGTGTGTGTGCACCAGAGACAGGTGCAGATCCCAGAGCTGGCCCGCCAATAAGACGTCAGTCTGAGCTTCTGAGGCGGTGTCTTGGAGTTACGAGCCGCATGTTAACCAGTAGGCACTTTTTTTTATTGGTGGTGGGTTTAAATGAAGCTACATTTGTGAATATGAGGCTACGCAAACAACACACTCAGTTGCAAACGCACATACACACACAAAAAGAGTTTGTTACTGAATGACGCATTTGACAACGAGCCACAACCCTTTTTTCTCCCCGCAGAGTATACAAAGAAACACTTTAGGCAAAAACAACACCTACAATATAATTTGAGCTCTTCCAAACACCCTATTTCCTAAAATGATAATGTAAATGTTCTTTGAGGACTCCAGCTTAAGTTCACGTCCAAATGTAGTTCGTGTAAACAAACTCTGGTTTTGGCATTATTTTTGTATTGTTTGCCAAATTCTTAACAATATCCACATGTTATGTTTTTGCTTGGCTGACAGCAATCTATAAGTCAGACTGAAAAGAGCTTTCACACTTGAAGCCTAACAGCTTTGAGTCAATGGGAGTTGACTGCTGGCAGTGTAAGCCAGTGGGGGTAGGATGTTTACAGGCCAACAACGCAGCATCATGTGGCCCACCATTATAATTACACCCCAGGGCAGATATTTTTCTCAAACAAATTAAAAACCCAAGCAGACCCTGTAAAAAGCACAACGGATATCAAGTAAATGCGTGAAACTGTACGAGCACAAACCAAAATCGCTAAATAAAAGAAATCAGCACTTTCAACAGTTTGTCTG